TATATATATATATATATATATAATTTATATATGCATGCATCTGCTATATGGGTGTGGATGCCCACAGAGCCCTGCAGAGTCTGTCCATGTGCAGCTGCATATTGTACGAGCCTAACAGCTGTAGACGCATGCATGAATGCATGCGTCTAGGCTTAACAAATATTACTTATGCATCCCTAGACACCAAATATAAGACCACTGCATACACCGCACAGAACATGCGCAACGCCACATCATCTCTCGACCCGGACAATCTTTGCACCCGTGCTGCTGCTGCTGCTGCTGCTGCACAAATGAGGTGAAGATGTCCTCCACTGCAAGAAAGTTGCTGTCTTCTTCTTCTTGTGGCTAGATGATGTTGCAGCACCTGCAGAGCTGTCTCCTTGAGACGGCTCCTCCATCCCTATTTTAACAGGGCAAAACCCTCCCCCCTGAATGCCTCTACCGCACTCTCCCCTCGTCCATACAGTCTTTGCAGCTGCAGTTCCTGTTGTTGCTGCTGTGTTTCCTGTTGCTGGTGCAGCTGTTTCTGCTGCAGCTGCTGTTCCTTCTTCTTCTGAACCACTTGGTTTGTCTCGCAAATTTAACATGTCGTCACCCTCAAAAAAGCAGCGCAGCCACCTCGACCACCAAGCAAATCTCCCCTCCACCGCAGCCATGCCTATTCCTGCTGCTGTTGCTGCTGCCGCAGCAGCTGCCGCAGCTGCTGCTGCCGCAGCAGCAGGGTTCCTGCTAAGACTGCCCCCCGACCCCCCTCCTCCCGTTGCACGGGAATCGCCAACACCACCCAAATACGGACTGCCAAGAGACTGCATCAACACGCTTGAGCTGTTTACACTCTTGCTGCAACTGTTGCAGCTGCTGCTACAATTGCAAGAGGCACCAGGGTCTTGTAGCCTGTGCTTCTGCTTCGTATGTTGTTGGTGCTGCTGATGATGGTGCTCCGTTTTATGGTTTGTTACTGTTGTGGCAAATGTTGCAGCCCATATGTCCCCTAAATGCCGCAGCCAACTCCCCCGATGGACTTCGTTGTTGTTGCTCCCGTTGCTTATGTTCCGGTGGCTGCTGTCGCTGGTAGCGGTTGAAGAGGCATCTGATTCATGTCTCGCATGCGTTTGTGCTTGTCGATATTTGTCTCTCTCCCCTTTGGACACGTCTTCTGGCTCGGGAAGGAATATCATTTTCCTGTCTTCTGCCGCGCCGTACTCAAACATCTCCATAAAAATTTGCACATGGCGGCTCATCATCTCCACCATCCGTTCGTCGTCCTGCAGTCAAGCCCCAAAACGCATGTATTCATGGATGCGCATCACGCTGCACTGCATGCACGTACACCTTGTGGCTACCCCAACACCTCCACGTAGACCTCTGCTTGCGTGGCTAGTGGTCATTCACGCAAACCTGCATGCATCGAAGCTCCCTGCAGGCACGCATGCATGCACAACTGCATATGCGCACGCATGGTGCAAAGTATTTTACCTCAGAAAAGCGTCCTGTGAACTGCGGATGCTTGTTGAAGAGGACAAGTGCAGCAATAACCTCCCCGGATCGATCCATGACAGGAGCTGCCAATACACTGCGAGTCTTCTGCTCAGATTTCTCATCAAACTCGGGGTTAAAACGCGGATCCTACACACATACAGTAGAAGAAACAGCAGCACAACGTGCACCTGCAGCACCAGAAGCAGCACGCGCTGCACCCGCAGCAACAGCAGCAGCGGGAGGTGCACCCGCACCAACAGCAGCAACGGCAAGTGCACCGCCACCAACAGCAACAGCAGCATCATGCAGAAGGCAAGGAACAGCGTAAAACAGCGTTGGCTACAGGCCAAGGCATCCCTATGGGCAGGCGTAGAGACAAGCAACCAGTAAAGGACAGAGCAGCAGCAGATGGACAGGCAAGCAGACATGCGCGTAAATATATGAGCGAAGGAAAGCACACAAACTGCCCACCTATGAAGGCATATACACACATATACTCGATATGTAGCAAGGAATTTCTCTCCGTCTCTACCCCTCTATACTGCTGAACCCTAAACACTGAAATATAAATTCTAAAACTTCACACCCAAACCCTAATATATACACCATACACCTAATATATACACCAAACCATATACAGACGCCCTACACTAAGAATTAAACACTGAACACTAAACCTTAAACCCCTCAGCTGCTCTAAACCCTAAAGCACAAGCAATGGAATTACAAAGTGTGCCCCAAACCCTCGCCACCCACCACACACCCCCACCTGCCCGGGGCTTACCTCGGAGGCTTCCGGACAGTTGAGTATGGCTTTGTTTTGCATAACCCATGTTGTAAAGCACTTGTTTTTGTGCTTGTGCATGCGAATAGCCTTCCCTTCCCCAAATACAGCCTTCGACCAGACTTCATCACGACTCGGGTCGTACACAAATAACGCCGCCTAAAGGCACAATTAAAACACCATTCTCCAGAACTCAAACTAGGACGGATATATATATATATATATATATATA